CGTGTGGAAATGTTCTTACTGTCACTATTAAACACAGCCCTGAGTGCTACTGTTGATTTTCTTCCATTTGATTTCACCAAACGTTTAAGTGATCACTGATCTCGATCATTCAGGATTTTTTTTCCGGCCACATTTCTTCCTTGAAGACGATGGGTCCCCACTATCCTTCCAGTTTTTAATAATGTGTTGGACAGTTCTTAACCCAATTTTAGTAGTTTCGGCATGTTTTCTCTGCTTGATACATGCCAATAATTTGACCCTTCTCAAACAGACGGACATCTTTTTCACGACCACGCGATGTGTCTTTCAACATGGTTGTTTAAGAAATGAGAAGCAACTCGTTGCACCAGTTGGGGTTAAATAACTTGTTGCCAGCTGAAAGATAATCACCCATGCAGTAATTGTCCAATAGGAGGCTCGTACCTATTTGCTTAGTTAACTCCAGGTGGCAACTTTTTTTGACCAGGCAGTGTATAAAAATAACAGTTCTATATTTATATCCATTGTATTCTACTAGAGCTTGGAAAGATGAAACACTTCCTTATTTTGTAATATGGCACCCGAGCCCAACGTGGGTTACTGCAGTTTCCTATCCAGTTTATTGAATACTTAGCACCAAGTTGTTAATATATTTTCAGCAAGATTAACATTTTCTATCAAACCAAAAGTCTTTGAAAGTTTAAAATTGACTCCTTGTCATTTATTTCCCCTTGCAAAACCATCATTGTTCTTTTTTAAAGTTTCCATAAAGTTTTGGTCCACTTCTATGTTGTCAGCTGGTGTTGTGCTGCAAAGAGGACCCCTGCTGTGAAAAGGCACCTCTGTTGTGGGGAGTGTGTTGTAAAGAGATGTAAGGTCATACGTGTCCACTCAATGGAGCTCTCATATTTTCTGAAAGAGGCGTGCAACCTTATGTTTTCTCCCTGTTTTCTGACTTGGAAACAAGTAATCCCTCTCAGACACAAGACAAGAGATCATCTTTATTGGTTCTTATTTTACATTTAGTTACAAACTAATGAATTCTTGTCAAAATATTTCCTACATTCTACACCACCCTTTCTCAACTTTGAGTGTGTAAAGGCGTATGAAAAGGTATTTTATGAATCAGTATGACATCGGTGAGATTGTGTTGTTATAAAATGGCAGCAGTCCACTTTAGTCTTGTAGTATGACATATGCAGGATATATTCATACATTTCGCGAGTTCTTCATTTTTCTGACTGTGTAAATGCGTGCATTGAGTTTAACAGAAAAGTAACGAGAGACGTTATTTATCTTTGACCCATCAAAATGAATGCGGTCATTTATTTGCAGAATCAAAGTTTAACATCAAACATTTACATTAATTTGGCAAAATATGAAAACAATAACATGGCTAGTTTCACAGAAAGTGGGCACAATACGGCGATTGTCCTCACTTCTCAGCAGAACAGCAGACATCAATCACACGGCGGTGATTGAGAACTTTGCTTCAGATATTTCTAAAATATCTGTGATGATTTTAGGAGAAAGGAGAGTTTAAGATGGAAAATGGAGATTTATCTTACAGAGAGATGTGTGAGGGAATTAATCTGTTTGACCAGAAACGTGCACGCTCCTTCAGTTCTCAGCTTGGTCACGGTACGCTTGGTCGAAGTAGAACTTTTACCTGGTTGATGATAGATCAGCGTCGGTATAGAATCCTTCCTTTGACTCTTTCAGCGTCTCCGTTGAGAACAGCTAAAATACTTCGAGAGTCGTGCGAGGTTATCCAAACAGAAGTTATAATTCCCAAAATCGTCCCTGCATTCTGGATTCAAGAAGCATTCTGGACGCCTGCGTTAGCATCCAAGAACTCTGAACTCTTTAACTCTCTTCAGAGAGTTAAAGTCTGGAACTCTTCTCCAGGAAAACTTTCAAGCTCTGAAAACTCCCATGTTGAACTCAATCTAGAGCGCACCTGCCGGAGTTGAACTGGGAAGTTGCCACATTTAAATGGGTCGACTTCCGGTTCATTTGAGAGCTTTCTAATTGGTGGATAGACCAGAAAAGAGGTGTGGTTTGTGATGTAAGGTGTTATCAAAGTCAAGGACAGAGATTAAGTTTGTTTAAAACAGACAGAAAGATTATTGGAGAAAACCAGACTTCGTGGAGTCAAACTCTCCTGTATCTTCTGTAAAAGTTAAACATGACATTTCTTTTTCAGTAAACTTTTAGTTGACCGAAACTTGAACCTTAACACACTTACAAATTTGCTCATTGAAGACAGAAAAATCAAGAAATGCATATTAACCTGATTTCTTCTTAGAATGAGGAATAAAAATCATTACTTACTGTTTATGTAAAATAAAAATGAGTAGTTCTCTTCAACCTGTAAACATTGAGTGAACTAACACAATTTGATTATCAAACATTTGTAAAATAGTAATGATCATAGAGAATTGTCATTTCTACTTGATTAATTCAAGAAAGAAAGTCTCAGGATGGGTCAAACTGTATTTCTGGATGCAGATCAATGAAATAACAGTTTCTGTTCCACAAGGTTCTTAAGGTCAAGTGTTTTGACCTTAGGCTTAGTTTGACATCAGGTTAGGTTCACTACAGTCTTGGCCTCAGTTGGACTAGTTATTAACTCATCACTCTGGTCAAATTTAAACAATCTTTCCGAATGAAAGTTGTTCAAAGTGCTGTCTACAACAGGTAAGATATTGTTTGTAGATTTTAAACTTTTTTTAAAGGATCTTACTTAAAAAGGTTTAAACAGTTCCTTTATTATGACTTTAGTTGTTATTTATTTATTTTATGTTATTATTATTTGTTTATTATTAAAAAAATATTTATAATATATATTTATAAATGTATTTATTTATTTTATGACTTTATTATTCCTTTATTTAGTTCCTTGTTCTAGAATTGCGCCGCTCAAGGTGGCTGCATGTTGGAGCAGCTCTATTACTTTCATTCTCAGTTATTGCTTTTGAAAGCTTTAATTCCTATTTTTCCTGGATGTAAATCACTTTTTTCAGATGATCGTGTACTCTGGTATCAGATGCTGTGCAGCTGGAAGGATTTTTACTGAACCCTTTTTACTTTTGGGCATTTGTTATGAGGCGTAGCCGTGACAACAAGGTGTTTTCTACAACCAGGAGCAGCTGATTAACATCTCAAAAGCTCAAATATCTCAACTACAGCCCCAAATCCCAAACGAGTTGAAAAGGAGGTGCCGTGGATGAATTCCCATCAACCTGGCGGTGGTACTCGAGTGCCTGACCGCCGGGATCCTGGAGGCGGTGGGAAACTCGGCTCGTGACAACAAGAGGACCGAGATCATCCCCTGGCACCTTCAGCTGTCTGTCCGTGGTGACGAGGAGCTCAGCAGACTACTGGGAGGAGTAACCATTGCAGAGGGAGGAATTCTGCTCGGTATTTGGTCAGTCCTGCTGCCCAGGAGGACCGAGAGGCCCACTAGGTCTGACAGCAAACTGGATCTGGGTGGACAGGTTGGTATCTGTGGCCAGATTCTTTGGATTTGCTGCAGGAGATCCTTCCTGCCTACAGCTATCAGCATCTATAACAACTCTTGAATGAAACCAGGATGATGAGCTACAACAACACTTAATTTCCTTCTGGGATTAATAAAGTCTTTTTGAATTGAATTTGAATTTATGTTAACAGTGACACTGAGTTGTTAATATCATAAGATTTAACCAAAAGCAGTGAACAACCAAATATTTTGAAGTGCGTGGGTTTTATTTTATTTATTTATTCCGTTATCAGTGGGGCTCTTATTCCCTTTTAAAGCTTTATACCTTTCTTTTTAAATAGGCTTTAGTAAAACCTGAACTTACCTCTCAGTTCTCAAAGAATAGATAAGCTTAATATTAATGTCCGTGAGTTGTTTTTTATGCGCTGTGTTTGGACTACGTGCATTAAAAGTTCATTGGGCGGTGAAAGCACAGTTTGTGCCCTGTCCTGGTGTTCTGGCTGTCTCGCTGTTCAGTCCCTCCATCTGTGTGAAGGACTCCGTGGATCGTCTCTTTGCTCTGATCAAAGAACGATAACAGAAGTCTGCGCCACTTTATTTATTTTCTGTTTGGATCCGTTTTGGTTCCCTCTCCTTCCTGTCCTGCTCCACTCCTCTTGCAGCATGAACTGACAGTTTATACGAGTGTATGTGTGTGAATTAGTGTTTTTTCTCTCTCTATGTGCCTGTTTATAGAAACTGTGCCCATTCCAGTGCAAGTGTTTGCAAAGCTCTGTGTGTGTGGTCTGACTTGGTTATTTTTCTATTGCCTTTACACCTCCTCCTTGGTGTAACTTCCTGCCTGAGTTGAGACGATGTTTCCAACTGTGAAACACACACACATATTCCAACTGTCATGCATTTAGTTGTATCTTCGAGGTTTGGTTGCTCTTTACTCACATATATGAAACACACAGATCACAGCTCTTGTCATTCATTAATCATCAGCATAGGGTTAGACACACAGCAGCATCCAGACCAGTTAGAGGAAGTAGAGAAAACGACAGCAGGACATGACAAGTGCAAGAGATTAGACGTTTAAGTAGGGGTGTCGAACTGTTACCAAAAGGAGCCAAAATTTAACTTTTTCTGATTCATGGGCTGACGCATAAACTTGAGTCTGATGTCTGATATCTTTTCTTGGTTGCAGATTGTTCTTTTCCATTTGACGTTCTGTTACTCTGTCCACATCAGAATCAATAATGATAGAATGATCCAGCCTCCTTTCTTCAGAGTTAGCCAGCTCCCAAGAGAAGTCTATACTCATTTTTTCATTTACCCTTTATTAATACAGGTAGTCTCATTGAGCCACGAGAACTCATTTTCAAGCGAAATGACGTATTTATCTTTTTTTTTTAAAGAAAAGTTTAAAAAAATATACAATATTTTACATTTAAATTATCATCTTGGGGGACCAGATTTGGCCCGCGGCTCTTGAGTTTGACGTATGCGAATGCTTCCGACGATTCAAAAATAAAAAGTGTGTTTTGTTTTTCAGATCCCGTTCTCTCTGGTGCAGTTTCCGCTTTGGGAATATTTAAAGGTATGTATTGGTCTCACGTAAAAGGCTCTTTTCTTTCTTCTGAATCTTTATTGTACAGCTGTTTTATCTCAGTAGCGTAATTTCCAGCAGTTACTCTCAGTGATAAATCCGTAGTAAAGTTATAGTGCTGTGCTTAACCTCTGACACTTTTACAGCAGGCTCCTCCTCAACGTACTCGTATCATTGTGGCAGGCAAAAGAAGAAAAAAATGACTTTACTCTGGTTTAATGGGCCATTGCTACTGCCATCAAACCTGCCTTAAATTTGCCATGATCCATTGTTCTATATCGCAGTTACTTGCTCTTTTTTCTTATTTTTTTTGCATTAATGGCACTTCTCTGCCATGTCCCTGCTCTTCGTCTTGTTTCCCTGTGTGGCTTTGAGCTAATAAAAGGCTGTTTCTATTAGAGAAGATGGTGGGTGACATCACGTCTCAAGGGTGCGAGAGACAGTCAAACATTTCATCAGCGCTGGGATCTACAGCCAGGATGAGATGAACACTGTGCCGCACAGTTTTATGTATTTGTATGCATTTGCAAAAGGATAGTTTTAGTCATTCACAAGTATTTCTTTGTACTTAGTCAAAGGCCGTCTCTCTCCAGGCCATCTGGACTCATCCGCTGGCGGAGAGCTGATCTGCTGGAATCTGGCCTGCTCTCTTTATAACTAATTAGGCCTTTCCTCAGATACAATGGCCGGCTGGCTGAGGAGGAACAAAACAAGTAATTGCAAACAAACATGTTTTTACTGCAATTTTTTTTTCAGAGTGACCACCAAGATGTTCAATGTCTTTCTCAAACTAAAATACCTGGATTCAGTTGAAAGGAAAATGCCAAAGTGAGGGAATCCGAGACAGTACGTGTGTGTGGTATGAGCTCCCATCTGTTTTTTGAGATTGTAATGTGCTGCGTTATGGCTTTTTTTTTTTTTTTTTTTTTTTTTTTTTTTTTGGTTAATTTCCCCTAGAGCCAGCACAGCTGTCAGAGAGAGAAGTGAAAAAACAAACCAAAAAAATGAGAAAATCAAACTAGCTGTAGAGTTTTTAGAGGAGTAGGGAGCAGCTGAATCCTGTTTGCTGCGCCCGGCTGTGAATTTCTTGGGATTTCATGAGAAGCGCGTTCCAGACCCAAGAAGTGAGTTTTTTTTATGAATTATGAGCCAATTTTACACTTTGGTTTCTGCACAGAGATTTAAAGCTTCTTCTTTTTTTTTAATCACAGCAGACGCCAGCGTCCCTGTGAATAATTCTCACACTTCGTTCACACATTAATTTCACAATGTTGTGGTGGTTTTTATTTTATTTTTTTATTATTGTTTTCCCAACAGCAACTGTTGCTTGCATCTTTGCCCCCATCTTTTCTGACCTCAAAAACTTAACAGCATGAAGGAGGCTGGACCAGTTCTTGTTTATGATTCAGCACAAACACGGGACCACAAAAAAAAAAAATAATAAATCCAGAGAAGTGAAGTCAAAAGCACGATGGAAACTTAAATTTAACGCAGCCTCCTCACACGAGCAGAAAGACCCACCGTCTCTTTCCGCTCCGGGGGGTCAACCAGGTGCAAAGTGGGACCTCGGCACGAGTTCACAGGTCAAAAAGTTTGTTTTTCCAGATTTACCCCTTATTGTCTATTCATGATACAAAGCTTAAGAGAGGGAGGGGCTCAAAAACAGAGGAATCCCCCCAGCAGGAGGTCTTTGATGTGGAAAACAGAATCTCTTTTTAAGCTAGCCTGTAATGCAATACAGATGACACGAGTTTAACAAGTCCTTCTATCTGTGTGTATTTACCTGTTTATGTCAGCACACACACACACACACGATGTTCAAATTTGTGCGGCGGATAGAAGGAGAATAAGTTAACATGTAACAGATTAGGAGGGGGCAGGCGGGTTATGCAGGAGGGGAGGGGACAAAGAAAATATTAGTAATCGCTCCATGCTGTTGCTCAATTGCTCTACCCTGAGAGGTGCTCATACCTTCGAGTGCCCGAGGCGGCCCAGCTGTCCGCATTCGTTTTATGCAGACACTAACTCCACATAACTCCCACTCTTCCGTTTGCCTGAACTTGTGGGGGGTGAGGAGGCGGGAAGGGGAAGACAGCCTCCCTTCTCATCCTGAGTTCAGTCTCAAAACAAAAACATCAGGTGGAATCACTCAGTAGCTGCTCGCACTCAGGGAGGCAGCTCCGTGTGCTCTGAAGGTTTTCAGACGTGGCAGCACTTGGAAAATACTTGGCTTCTGATTGGTTTCAAATATTTAAAAAGAAGTATGCACACCACATGGACAAACACAATAATCTGCAGATAGTTTTCTTTGGATAGAGAAATGTAGATTTTTCTTTTAAGGACATAGAAGTACAGTATCTGTTTATTACCAGGTCTTAGATTTTAGCTAACTACAACTTAAAATCAATTAAAACTAAAAACTTAACAACACATAATACATGTGAATATTTATTTCACTGGAACTAATTTGAGACGCAGACAACTCGATGATTATGTAAGTCCTGCAGCTACAAAGCAAGCCCACATCATCACACCTCCACCACCGTGATTGACAGTTGATAAGATGTGTTTGTGTGTTGACTTTTTTTTATTTTTTTTTTATTTAGCCTCACTGTTCCCAAAGCATTTTGACTTGTTTGGATGAACGTTTGCAAACCTCAGCTCCACATTGCAGTCACGCTCCTGTTTTTGACTTCACCATGAACTTTTATCTGATCGGCACAGATAAAAATGTTTTCAGTTTTCTAATTGATTCACTGTGCTTCAATTTTTCAACAAACCAAGAATGTGAAAGGTATCCTGATGCATGCTCACTCAACCCCCTGTGAATAGTAAACAGCCATCAGTGTGCTAATGATCCATTGTTAGGCTGATGGTCCTTCTTGACCATGTGAGCAGCTGGTTTTGGTTGTCAGCAGCAAACTGGTTGATCCACTCTGAGAAGGTGCTATTTAAGAGACTGAGCTGAAAACAGCAGCTCAGACTAAAGAAGTCTCTCAGACGAGAGACGAAACATATCTACATTTTTTTGCTTTGTTTTTTTGAATGTCCAGGGGACCAGATTGAACTTTTTTGGAATGTGAAAGTTAGTTTGCTTAGACAACTTTTGTAATTGTCATAATTTCTTATAGTGGTGGTTTGTTTGGTGTTTGCAGAGTTTTACAAAGGGTTTGATTGTTAAATCAATGGGCTCTATCAACCAGCTGACCAATATAAAATATATATTGTATGCAGGCACTTCAGTCACTTACTTTGTAATTGGGTCATTTAATAAATAAAATATTGATTCAGGACTAATGTGGGGAGAAGGGATGACGGTGAGGTTTTTGACTCAAATATTCAATGGCATATATGAGAGTGAGAAAATGCCTGAGGAATGAAGAAGAAGTGTGCTGGTGCCCTTTTTTAAGAACAAGGGTGATGTACAGAGTTGTAGCAACTACAGGGGAATTAAGTTGATGAGCCACACATTGAAGATCTGGGAGAGAGTTGTGGAAGCAAGACTTAGACGAGAGGTGACTATCTGTGAGGAGCAGTATGGTTTCATGCCAATAAAGAGCACCACAGATGCCACCTTTGATTTGAGGATGCTGATGGAGAAGTACAGAGAGGGTGGGAAAGAACTCCATTGTGTCTTTGTGGATTTATAAAAAGCATATGACAGGGTGCTGAGGGAGGAGGTGTGGTACTGCATGAGGAAATCTGGAGTTGCAGAGAAGCATGTTAGACTGGTACAGGACATGTATGAGGACAGCAGGACAGTGGTGAGATGTGCTGTAGGAGTGACAGATAGCGTCAAGGTGGAGGTGGGAGTGTATCGAGGATCGGCTCTGAGCCCCTTCTTGTTTGTTCTGGTGATGGACCGAATAACAGATGAGGTCAGGCAGGAATCCCCGTGGACTATAATGTTTGCAGATGATATTGGGATCTGTGGTGAGAACAGGGAACAGGTGGAAGAGAACTTGGAGAGGTGGAGGTATGCACTTGAAAGAAAAGGAATGAAAGTCAGACGTAGTAAGACAGAGTACATATGTGAATGAGAAGATGGCCAGTGGAACAGTGAGGCTACAAGGAGCAGAGGTCAGCAGGACTTCAAAAGTACTTGGGTTCCACTGTCCAGGAAAATGGGGAGTGTGGTAAAGAGGTGAAAAAAGAGAGTCCAGGCAGGATGGAGTGGATGGAGAAAAGTTTCAGGAGTGATTTGTGACACAAAAAGTGTCAGCAAAGGTCAAAGAAAAAATTTCCAGGACAGTGGTGAGACCAGCTATGTTGTATGGTCTGGAGACAGAGACATGGACAAAAATACAGGAGAAAGAACTGGAAGTGGCAGAAATGAAGATGTTGAGGTTCTCCTTAGGAGAAAAGATTAGAAATGAGATCATCAGAGGTACAGCACAGGTTGAACAACTGGGAGATAAAGTTAGAGAGGCCAGACTGAGATGGTTGAACATGTCCAGAGGAGGGACAGTGGATATATCGGTAGAAGGTTATTAGAAATGCAGCTGCCAGGAAAAAGACAGGAGATTTATGATGCAGTTAGAGAGAGAGAGGTGGTTGGAGTGAGGACAGAGGATGCAGAGGACAGAGTGGGATGGAAGAGGAGGACTCGTTTACCCCTGAAGAGGAAAAAGTGGAAAGAAGAAGATAATTTTTTTAATAAATGTGTACTTTCTAATACAAGAATACAGTGAGGAAAATAAGTATTTGAACACTATGACTTTGCAAGTTCTCCCACTTAGAAATCATCGAGGGGTCTGAAATTTTCATCTTAGGTGCATGTCCACTGTGAGAGACACAATCTAAATTTAAAGAAAATCCGTAAATCACAATGTAAGATTTTTTAAATAATTTATTTGTGTGTTACTGCTGCAAATAAGTATTTGAACACCTGCCAATCAGCAACAGTTCTGACACTCAAAGATCTGTTAGTCCGCCTATAAAAAGTCCACCTCCACTCCACTTATTATTCTAAATTAGAAGAACCTGTTTGAGGTCGTTAGCTGCATAAAGACACCTGTCCACCCCACACAATCAGTAAGACTCCAACTACTAACATGGCTAAGACCAAAGAGCTGTCCAAAGACACCAGAGACAAAATTGTAGACCTCCACAAGGCTGGAAAGGGCTACGGGGCAATTGCCAAGCAGCTTGGTGAAAAAAGATCAACTGTTGGAGCAATTATTAGAAAATGGAAGAAGCTAAGCATGACTGTCGATCTCCCTCGGACTGGGGCTCCATGCAAGATCTCACCTCGTGGCGTATCAGTGATCCTAAGAAAGGTGAAGAATCAGTCCAGAACTACACGGGAGGAGCTGGTCAATGACCTGAAGAGAGCTGGCACCACTGTTTCCAAGGTTACTGTGGGTAATACACTAAGACGTCATAGTTTAAAATCATGCATGGCACGGAAGGTTCCCCTGCTTAAATCAGTACACGTTCAGGCCCGTCTTAAGTTTGCCCATGACCATTTGGATGATCCAGAAGAGTCATGGGAAAAAGTTACGTGGTCAGATGAGACCAAAATAGAACTTTTTGGTCTCAATTCCACTCGCCTCAGTTAGAGCATTGAAGATGGGTCGTGGGTGGGTCTTCCAACATGACAATGACCCGAAGCACACAGCCAGAATAACCAAGGAGTGGCTCCGTAAGAAGCATATCAAGGTTCTGGAGTGGCCTAGCCAGTCTCCAGACCTAAACCCTATAGAAAATCTTTGGAGGGAGCTCAAACTCTGTATTTCTCAGCGACAGCCCAGAAACCTGGCTGATCTAGAGAAGATCTGTGGAGGAATGGACCAAAATCTCTGCTGCAGTGTGTGCACACCTGGTGACAAACTACATGAAACATTTGACCTCTGTAACTGCAAACAAAGGCTACTGTACCAAATATTAACATTGATTTTCACAGGTGTTCAAATACTTATTTGCAGTAGTAACACACAAATAAATTATTAAAAATCATACATTGTGATTTACAGATTTTTTTTTTTTAGATTATGTCTCTCACAGTGGACATGCTCCTAAGATGAAAATTTCAGACCCCTCCATGATTTCCAAGTGGGAGAAGTTGCAACGTCGCAGGGTGTTCAAATACTTATCTTCCTCTCTGTATATACCCGATTTATACATGTGTCTGAATGTTTAACTGTTATTTGTCAGCATGATGGAATGTCGACAAAATGCATGAAGAGTGACTGTGACAGCTTCGACACCCCCCACACCCCCATCTCTTTGCCCATTTCTTGGGAACTGAGTAGCGTGGCATCACTGGGGAGGAAAAAGCAACATAGAAAAAGCCCATTTCCCATCCACAGACTGAATTTCAGACCAGACTGAAGTTCACAATGTGTTTTTAATTATGTCTATCTCTACTAACTCTGGTCTTCTTTCTCTCTCCATTTTTCTTCCTCTTTCATCATCACCCCCTTTTTCTCCTCTATCCACAACAAATTTCTTCTTCCTCTCTCAACATTTCTGTCTTTCTCCCAGACGCTGTGGTCGTTGAGGCAAGGTCACACGCTCCACTCTTGGCAGTCTGCAGTGTGCGGAGCTTTTGCAGGTGCAGGGGATTATATGCTGCTTTGGGAAAGAGGCTGTGGGGGTTATTGGGGTGGGATGGACACAGGGGAGAGGGATAAATAAATAGATAAATAACAAGACAAGCGGACTGAGAAGAAAATGAAAACTTTTTCTAAAACACATTTAAAAAACAATGAACTGACCGGGATTGTGCATTGTTTTACCAGCAGAAGACTGTGGTCACCACTGTTCTCATGCACTCACAGTGAACTTCACACCGTCGCAGCTTGTTCTAGATGTGTGTCAGGGGAAACCCCAGCAAGCAGGGGAAAAGAGTGGAGGGATGAGAGGGGCTGGTTTCTGGGTATGGGCCCCTGCAGCTGTGCGACCTTCTGAGCACTGGAGCCTGAAGTGGTTTGAGAAGGAGAGAGGACGGAAGAAGCAGAAATGGAGTGAAAGAGGAGAAGAGAATGGACTAAAAATAAAAATTAAAGGTCTAGTGTTCCTTGAAAGAACGAACATCTCTCATCGTGTTTTGTGCCTGAGCGTTAAACTAAGATCATCTGAGAATAGCCGGAGTTATATCTGTTTGGGTCGAACTTTCACATTATGTCTCATGCAATATTGCAGGATCTCAGGCGATCTGTTGATGCTCAGAGTTTGTGTTGAGGATGACACTCAGCTACTACCAATCAAACTTTATTGCAATATAAGATTTGTCTACGTTAGATGTTTTTGCGTTTACTCAGGTCAGTGACGATTAGCTGCAGTAGCCGTCTTGAACTGGAGTGACTCCAAAAGTTAATCAGTTGTATACGAGTTTCATTAAAGTCTGAAAAATGGTTCATGAGATATTTTGCTAACAGACTAATGTTTTTGATGCCAAAAGATAATACCAAGGTCAAGGGTTCATGCAATCTGTTGTTTTCCAAGTATGTGCTGTAAATTCTCTCAGCTACCAACTCACCAAATTTCAGCTAAAGCTCTGTAAAATAGACCAAGGCTTAGCATTTATGTATCTGATGTCAGTTGGCTGCGGCGGCCATCTTTCTTTGGGTTCTTTTTAGGCCTGTCACAATAACAAATTTTGCTGGGCGATTAATTGTCTCAGAAATTATTGTGATCAATGATAATATTGTTTGAAATTTGGCAATAATTGTCAAATTTTAGAAGAAATGTTGATTTGTTTGGCATGTAGTACCTTTTTTGATCACCTGATGGCAGTATAAGACGATTTGAACCAAAGGATGGACAGTAGAGCAGCATGTCTCTTTAATAAAAATGGGAGGGAGGGCCCTTGACGTGACATGGGCTGACATGGTGACACTTGGTGATTTGAGCGCTTTAGCATAGCATTTTTCACACAAGGCTTTTAATGAAAAATCAGTAAACAAGTTCTCTGCTTCTTTTTGCAGAGAAAAACAACTTTTTACACCAAGGCACGGGTTTCAACAGTGAATTTTGAAGCTTCGACAAGATGGACGTTTATTCCCAAGGTCAACCTATTAGCTTAGCTTCTCAGCTTAGCTGCTTTTAACAATCCAAAAACACGATTTTGGACGATTAAATGGATTTTAAAGAAAAAAGAGAAGGGGAGAGGTTAGTGAAGAGCACCGAAGTTGAGCTTTTTGTCATCCAGTGTCTTCAGCAGAAAGAGACGAAGAAACGATAAAGCCGATAAATGAAAATGAGGTTGATAATTTTCATTTATCATGTGATTAATTGATTTATTGATTTATTGTTTATCGTGACAGGCCTAGTTAATTTATGAAAGTGTCATTAAAATCCATCCTGTGGTTCATGAAATATTTTGCTAACAGACGGACAGGGTGCAGTTTTTAATAGTTTACCAACTTTAAAGAAACAATAATGCACAATCAGTTGGCGCTCAAATTAAAGATTAAGGATGACCCTCAGCTACTACCACTTTTCTGTATTGTTGAATGATATGACAGTGGTTATGATGAGCTTTCAGTCTCTGAGTCCTCTTGTGTGTGTGCACGTGTGTGTGTTATTTAATCAACACAACCAACCAAAAAGAATGACCCACACCCATGAACCCATAGCAACATAGCTCGAGCTCCCAGTTCAATAACTGAAAGAAGAAAAAAAAAAACAGCGTCACATCATTCGTCTTTTTTTTCTCCCAGTCTTTAGCTTTTACTGCGATGAAAAAGCAAAACCATGATCCAAATGCATTTTCCATGAAGTGAACAGCTCTGACCAGCTGTCGAACGTTTGCAGCTTTCAGTCTGTAACTCTTCCACCGCTGCAACGCGCCAGACAGGACTGGACGGTTTATGTTTTGGATTCTGAAATAGAGATGGAGGAGAGAGACGATGACAGCACCCTGAGGAGATGAGATGTAGCCCTGTCACCTCACCTGAAGACAAGCTACAAAATAGAAGGGAGGTTTTTTTTTTTTAATAGTCCAGAAAAATAAGTCGGATTATTAGGAGTTATTATTTTTATTTTATGCATTGAAGCTCTTCTAGAAATGTAGTTTGAGTTCTTTGGTCATGAAATGATTCATGTTGGCTCCGAGCAGTCAGCACGCCTGAGTATCCAAAATAGGCACATTGGAAAAGAAGGGGGCAGTGGAGGTGCAGGAGACAGAGGGTCCCGTTCAGGCTTTGAGTTTACATCCTTACGTGACCAAGCTCCGTCCAGGAGGGATCCTCAAGTTTCACCCCCTTGCCCTTACACCGCACTTCACACACTCTGTTTCACTCGTCCATAATCTGCTCGACACTTGAAATCCTCGCACAGACCTGCCCTGCGTCTCCCCGCTCGCCTCCTGCTCTGACTTACAGCAGACCAGAACTTGATTTCCTGTCAGACTTCTGCCCCGACAAAAGATTACATCACACACTGATTGGTTTCCAGCCTTCACCACACTGTTTTCTTTTTTCTTAGATGAAATTAGATCATTCAAATGGATACTATCATATTTTGAAGTGGGGTTTTGTGGAAATATTATGAACAACTAATATCTTACCTGTTGTAGATAAACACTCACCTAGCAGCTTGTCTGAGATCAAAGACCAAAGCAGACTGCTGCTGTCTGAGACAACTCCAATCTCAAAAATGTTGCAGTGTGTCATGCAAACGCTGTCTTATAAACCTTTACATCGTTTAGAGCGACACGGTGGCTCAGCTGGTAGAGCTGTCGCCTCTCAGCGAGGAGGTTGCTGCATCGAGTCTCAGCCGGGGGCCTTTCTGGGTGGAGCTTGCATGTTCTCTCCGTGCATGCGTGGGTTTTCTCCGGGTACTCCGGTTTCCTCACACAGACCAAAAACATGCATGTTAGACTGATTGGTAACTCTAAATTGTCTCTAGGTAAAAGTGAGAGAGTGAATGGTTGTTTGTCTCGTTTGTCTCTATGTGTCCCTGTGATGGACTGGAGACCTGTCCAGGTGTCCCCCACCTCTCACACAGTGGTGACTGGATATGGGCACCAGTGACCCAAAAAAGAAGAAGCGGGTAAAGATGAATGGAAAAATTCTTGTTTGAAGTTGCCAAGGTTTTACTGGATGTGTTACAGCTAGCTGCTACTGCTGTTTCCACTTGCGTACTACGTGAATAACAGTGTTAAGCAAATCGATGGCAATGTAAATATTTATTAAATAGACCATGAGGAATTTATTTTAGATTAGTCGTTTTAAGATGGCAGTAATCAACTTTGGTGTAGACCCCTCTCAGACTAGCCATTAGCCCGTCAGTTTTTTCAGAATTAATCTATTTATCTGAACCAAGTCTGTTTAACAGGGTATGTAGGAGGGTTGAGAATATTTAGGCAGTTCATAGTTTGATTTGATTATGGTTCATAGAGTTTCGATTCGCACATAAAATGATTATTAATGCATTTTGATTATCTATGATTATCATGTTTGTGGAAAAACACCACGAAGATCTACAAATATCATAGCTGCTTGTGCTAGCTTGATAATGAAAACTCTACAGATGAGCTAATATGATAAGTACGATTTGTCACTGAAATCTATACAGTTCAATTCAGTTTCAATTCAGTTTATTTATATAACACCAAGTCGCAACAGAAGTCGTCTCAGGGCACTGAACAGAAACATTAATACATATAACAATTTTCAGTCAGGTCATCTGGACAGTTTCTTTTTTTTTTTTTTTTTTTTTGGTCCTGAAACGTTTCACCTTCCATCCAGAAGGCTTCATCAGTCAAGGAAACACACAACACAAAACTGATTCTTCCCTCAACAGCTTACTCCAAAGTGTAACAAACCAGTTATGTTTGTGCTAAGATGGTCTCTTTGGCACACTCCCTCCTCCAGTGCCGGCCCGTCGACAGTCATGTCAAACTGGTTCAAAACCAACAAAGTCTGGATGGAAGGTGAAACGTTTCAGCACAAAAAAAAAAAGAAACTGTCCAGATGACCTGACTGAAAACTGTTGGATTGTATACCTGGATTATTGAGCATGGACGTTGTTGATTAATACATCTACACATACAACATACACAAATCAAACGTTTCAGTCATTACTACAGATGTTACAAAAAATTCAGTTATTAATGAACTCCTCGGAGTTCAGTGAAGAGAGGATGAAATAGTCATTAAAATAAATGTTAAAAATCAAGTGTCAGCTTGAGCAGCGGCTCTAATAAAACAAACATTGCTTCTGTCACATATACGTAGAAACGTTCAGTGAGAGCAGCTGCTTGCTGAGTTATGAACCTACTTTAAGTAATTGGTTTTGTGTAAGTGTTTATTTAGAATATTGAATGAGTTTTTGAGAACAGAGGTCTTTTTATGTTTGCACTTTGTTAAAAACGTGTGCGTTTTTCTGTAGGTGCGGTGGCGGCGTTTGTCACGACTCCTTTGGACGTAGCAAAGACCAGGATCATGCTCGCAAAGGTACACACACCAGAAACACATCTCTTTCCACCACCACCCCCCCCCACCACCACCACCACCCCCCAGTTCTGGCAGCGTCTTTTAAACAGCGCTGTCAGGTGATGCCTCGCAGGCAGAGAGCGGAGCGGGCCCGCAGCCTGAGCAAATTTCAACGGTGTCAGCAGTGCAGGGCAGAGCGGGCCGGGGTAGCTCTGGGACAGCAGAGACCTGTGCACGCATCCATCACCTGGCTGAATATGGACAGTGTTGTGGAGACATGTTTGTGCTCATGGTTAGTGTTAGAGGAAGGACTTGTTGCTCAGTTTCCATCTTAGGGCTGCGAGTCACAGAGAGGTGAAGCAAAAGGACATCCTCTCCTCCGCGAGGCGATATCCCTCCTCTTCCTCACCACCTTTTTCTCTTCTGGCTCAGTCGAACTACGTCTGGCTTTCTTCACTGCATCCTGTGTGTGTATGTGCGTGTTTAAAGGGTGAGTGAGTTCAGAGGTACCCCCCCTCCAACACACACACTTACAGAATCCGTCCTTGGAGAAGACACAGTGTTCCATTTCCGCCCACGTCCGAACTAATGAGACACTGGACTTAACAAAACACTCGGACAGTAGTGATCTCTTGTGAGGAGCTGTTGGCTGTAGGTGGACGTGCACAGTACAAAAGCTTCCAGTAAACATTATCTGACAGGCAGCTGCTGTAATCTAACCACCCGCAAAGGGCTCTGTCTGTGCTGAGCTGAGCAGATAACTTTATAAGGCCAAAGTTTGGGTTCGCTCTCCAAAAAGTTTCTTTCTTTCAGAGAGAAAGTTCTGAAGTTCTCAGCGCAATAAGAACGAAGCTCTTTAGACGGGATCTGACAGTTGTTTTTGTTAATATGATTTTTATTATAGTTCTTTATTGTAAAACTTAACTGTTTGTCTGTTTAATTATTGAGTTAACGTAGAGTGACTCTAGCTCAGTGGTTCCCAACACTGGTCCTTGAGGAACACCATCCTGCATGTTTTAGTTGTTTCCCTGCTTCAACACACCTGATTCAGTGGTTTAATTCCTCACGTTCTGCAGCAGCCTAAATCACCCATTTAGTAAAATCAGGTGTGTCAGAGTGGAGAAACAACTAAAACATGCAGGGAGGTGTTCCTCAAGGACTAGGGTTGGGAACCCCTGCTCTTGATTGAGTTGTAAGAAGAACATACATATTCAGTTTTTTTCCTGATGAGGACACATTAGAAGACCTGTCAATGCATTTTATTTTCCATTCTGTCATTTAATAAACCTACAGGTGGGATTTTGTTCTCCTCTTCCTGCATGATGATTACAGTTGAATTTTTCATTTCATTATTCTCCAAATGTTCTCTGTTCAACACCTGAACCTTCAGTTTCTGCAGCTGTGTCTTTGTAATGCATGCAAAATGTTGTTTTATTTATTTCCTCTATTGTTCATTGACGTTGTGCACCATGTGTGAACTAATATCCTCATTCCTTACTAATATTTTTTAGAAACAATGTTTTTAAAAACCTAAGTGGATTTTTTTTAAATAATTGCTTTGGATTTGGAAATGTTCCGCCCATCTGAACTCCTGAACCTCAGCTTTTAGATCAAATTACTCATTTAAAGTTTCAAGAGGTTTTTTTTTTATATAATTTTTATGCAGGAATGTTAACTTCACTAACAAGCAGCAGTTTAGATAAGCAGTAAACTATTTCCCATTTACCATAAATTGAAAAATCGGAAATGGGAAGTTGTTAAGATATTTATTAAATATTAGTTGTACTTCAGGATTTCTGTTTTACTGAACACACAACATGAAGTTCAACTGTTCAAAAGATTAATTCATTCAACCTTTATTTATATAGATGGGATGTTGGCATCAATAAGTGCCTTATTTGATCAAATATGTTTAAAAAATGTCAATATTCTGTCATTTTGAAAAAATTCTGAATCTATTCATGTTTCAAAGCCGTAGAGATCATTCATCCATCATCTTTGCCCACTTCTTTCTTTTTTGGTTGTGTGTGCATACGTGGCTGTAAAAATTGATCTTTGCGCAGACATGCCCTGCGGGCGTCCGCTTCGAGTCTAATCTGGTACACACGGAGCTCCATGGACTGAGGTCTGCCCGAGTATGTGGGAGCCTTAAGGGATAATTCAGGAAACCCAAGTTGACCTGAACTATAGGATTTATCAAAAAGGAAAGTCTTAAGTCCAGTCTTCAAACTGGACAATGTGTCAGCCTCACGGACAGAAACTAGAAGTTGTTTCCATAAGAGAGGAGCCTGATAACTGAAAGATCTTCCTCCTATTCTGTGTTTGGAAACTCTAGGAACCTCAAGTAAACCTGCAGTCTGAGAGCCAGTGGCTCTGTTAAGAAAGTAAGGAACAATAAGACCTGTATAAGATGGAGCTAGGTTGTTGAGAGCTTTGTATATTGTAAGTAAGATTTTGAATTTAATTCTGGATTTGACAGGGAGCCAGTGGAGAGAAGCTAAAACTGGAGAAATATGATCTCTCCCAGCAACTCCCATTAAAACTCTGGCAGCAGCATTTTGGATCAGCTGAAGACTTTTTAAATAATTTTTTGGGCACCCAGATAACAAACCATTGCAATAGTCCAGTCTAGACGTGACAAATGCATGAACCAGTTTTTCTGCATCATTCACTCTCTCACTCACACCTAGGGACGATTTAGAGTTACCAATCAGCCTAACATGCATGGTTTTGGTCTGTGGAAGGAAACCGGAGTACCTGGAGAAAACCCACACATGCACGGAGAGAACATGCAAACACCACCCAGAAAGGCCCCCGCTGGGATTCGATCCTATGACTTTGCTTAGAGGCAGCAGCTCTACCCGTTGTGCCACTGTGCCTTAAATTGTTAACTTGTGCAAGCATTCCTAGAGAGAGAAGTTCCAGGTAGGTTTGAAACATGGGCTCGTCTGGGATTTAAACCTGGGACCTCTAACACCCAAAGCAAGAATCATACACCAATGAGCCACATCTGTAGAGATAATTTTATCAAAAAAAAAAATCAGATTTAGTTTCAAAACCTCCACAAATGTAACTTATTTTTTAAATTTTGCCCCACATTAGCTAAAGGACTCAGCTGATAGAGTTTTTGCCATGGCAAAAAGGTTGTTGGTTCAAATCCTGGCCCGAGACTTTTCTGGTTGGAGTTTGCATGTTCTCTCCGTGCATGCGTGGGTTTTCTCCAGGTGCTCCAGTTTCCTCACACAGACCAAAAACATGCATGTTAGACTGATTGATAACTCTAAATTGTCTCTAGGTGTGAGTGAGAGAGTGAATGGTTGTTTGTCTCGTTTGTCTCTGTGTGTCCCTGTGATGGACTGGAGACCTGTCCAGTGTGTCCCCCGCCTCTCACAGTGATTGCTGGATATGGGCACCAGTGACCCCCCGTGACCCGAAAAGGAAGAAGCGGGTAAAGATGATGGATGGATGAATGAATGCATGAACTAATTAATTAATTAATTAGCTAAAGCAAATTATACCCAGTCGTAGAGTTAAGAGGCTGAGCAGAATTGGAGTCAGTGGGTACAGACAGTTTGGATCAGACTGGAGAAAATGTGGGTGTTGGAACTTATAGCATCAGTTTCCTCACACAGCAGGGTGGGAATGAAAGGCTGGTGTTGTGCAGTGGTCAGCTTGGTGCAGACCGGAGCGGGCGAACATCCAGGGCACAACAGGATGTGTTACACTCCTCCAGAGCAGGAGGAGCAACCTGTCTGATAAAGCACAGCATCGCTACATCCCTGCATCTCCCTCCTGCTGCAGGAGTCGATGTCAGGAGGATGGGCAACAAGAGGGTTATCTGATTTGTCTAAAGCAATTTAAAAGAATTCTAAAAAGTCTATTTTAAATCTGAAATCAGATAAAACTCTTACAGTGAGTCAAGTAAAAATAATGATGCGTCAGCAGCCAGACAGGAACTGTGTGTCTTCAGTGTGTGTGTGTGTGTGTGTGTGTGTGTGTATTTTGGATGTCTTGTTCTCTCGTTCCACCCTTTCACAGCAGTAAAGGAAAAGAAAACTTGTCAGCTGAGGAGAGTAATTCCTCAGCCATCTGTCTCCAACAGAAACAGGAGGAATATGAATGTTTTTCCTGTTCATATATATATATATATATATATATATATATATATATATATATATATA